CATTCATGGTTTAGTAGCATGTATCAGTATTTTGTTCATTTTTATTGTTGAAGAATTTTTTTATTGTATGCCATATAATATGTATCCAATTATGAAAAAATGGACCTTTGACTTGTTTCCAGTTTTGGACTATATGCATAATACTTCCATGTACATATACATACATGTTTGTGTGTGTGTGTGTGTGTGTGTGTGTACATTTATTTTACTCTCTTGGGTAGATACTTAGAATTATTGGGCTACAATTTAATGTATAATGTTTAAAGATTGTTCGAGCTTATTTTTCAGAGTGAATATACAATTTTATATTTCCACAGCAATCTTTTTTTAAAAGAGGAAACTCTTTTGTTAAAGATTGTATTTATTTTTATTTATTTATTTTTAGACAGAGGAGAAGGTAGGGAGAAAGAGAGGGAGAGAAACATCAACATGTTGTTGCTTCTCATGCACCTGCCACTGGGTGCAACCCAGGCATGTGCCCTGGGTGGCAACCCTTTGGTTCGCAGGCCAGTGCTCCATCCACTGAGCCACACGAGCTAGGGCTCCTCCAGCAATCTTTTTAATCAACAATCCATTTTATTTCTTTGAGCAATGAATTTTGAATTTCAGTTTACAGGTAATACATTTACTTGGCTAAATTTATTCTTACATATTTTATTATATTTGATTCTATTCTGAATTTAATTTTTTGTGAATTTAATTTCCAATTTGTATTTTGCTAGCATATGAAATTGTTCTTTTTTAATTTGCTCTTTTACCCATGGCCTTGGCAAATTCCCTTTTTCTCTCTGTTAGTTTCTTTAGTTCTTTGGAATCTCTTACCCATAGTGTCATGTTATTTTTGAACAAAACTAGATTTTCTTTACAGTCTGGATATTTTTATTTGTTTTTAAATTATATTTTCAGATGAATGAACAGGATAAACTCTCAAGTACAATGCTGAACATAGAGACAAGAACAGACATTCTTGCCCAGTGCCTAATATTAGAGAGAAAACATTACCTTTGATCATTGAGTATTGTGGCACCTGTAGGTTTCTGGTAAACAGATTATGTCAAGTTGAAGATGATGTTTAAAGTTCATTATCTGTTGAGATTTTTTGTTTCTCCTTTAATAATTAGTAAGTGTAGGATTTTGTCAAATGCTATATGTGAGTTTATTGAGATGGCATTATGATTTTTGTTCTATTAATATAATATGTTACATATTAATTTTCTTGGACATTAAACTAAACTTCATCCTTAGAATAAATGTCATTATGTATTAGTTCAACAATATTATTCTGAAGTTTATTTGCTGATATTAGTTTAAAAAATTTTGTACATATGTTCATAGTGACATTAGTCGATTCTTTTTTTTTCCTTATGTTTTTGATTGGCTTTGGTATCTCTATCCATACAATGAGCTGGTTAGAGTTTCCTCCTCTATTTACTGAAAGAATTTGTGAAGAATTGTTATTATGTGGTCTTTAGTTAGTTGGTAGAATTCCCCAGTGAAACCATGTAAACATAAATTTTTCTTGGTGGAGAGATTTTTAATTACAATTTCATTTTTTAATTTGTTTTAGATCTATTAAGATTTTCTATATATTTTTGAGATCAGTTTTGATAATACGTGTCTTTCTAGGAATTTTTTCAGCCCATCTATGTTCAGTTGACTAAATTTTTGACATAATATTTATAATAATATTCTGTAACATTTTAATTCATTTTGATAAAAAGTGGTGTCTCTTCCTTCATTCCTAGTTTTTATAATTTGGGTTCTATCTTTTTTTCTTAGTTTAAACTGTACTGTCAAATATTAATAATAAGGTACTTCTAATTCAAATTGATTCAGAAAGCTATGGGAGCTGACTGAGATATCACAAAGGCATAAGGAAAACAAATTTATCAAAATATTTCTAAGGCATGAAGGATAAGAATAGAACTATTTATGGATTATTTTATATGAGCCCCCAAACATTAATAAACTGGTTATTAAATATAAGCAACATGGATCAATGATCACTGGAGTTAAATGGTTTGACTGCTAGGAACACAGCAATTAATTGTGTAAGATTTCGGTTACTCAATATTTGCTACATTTATATTGGGATTTACTTTTTAATTTTTCAATGATAACTAGTTTCTACATGGCAAAACCTTGGAAAATAATGATCATCTTAATCAAGTTTAAATAGGTTTCGTTATTGCTATCCTTAACAAAGATTATTGTAAATGAGTCAAAAAAAGAAATGTTATTACATTTTTATATAGTTTAGTGAATTATATGCATAAATTAAAATTTTATATTACTCTAATTACATTAAATTGTGAAAAATCAATGCTTACTTCTGTACAATAGTTCTTGAATAAAGATGTTACTTCTTCCTGAGGCAGAATTTTAAAAGGGTAAGATGATATTTATAAACTTGTAATTATGAAAAATTTTATACATATACAATAGAAGAGAGAATAAAATAATGACACCAATAAGCTCATCACTCACTTTCAGCAATATAAATGTGTTGTTTTTGTTGTTATAATTTTCTCTCTCTCCTTGTTTTGACATTTATTTTGTAATTGCCATAATGGTGACTGGTGACCTTTAATTTTCAGTAAATCTACAAATCCTACAGAGCACAGGGAAATCTCACACAGCAAATATTTGTCTTAGCTAAAATACCAAAGCATACCTTTGAGAAACACTTTTTAATAATGTTACAATAGTGATTATATTTTTGTGACATACTACTGTATTGCAGGAAATAACTAATTTAGAACTACCAAGAGAGTTTCTTATGTGTAAAAAATAGGCTTTAATTCTAGTAACATATTAATACATTATAAAGGTAAGTCTGTATTATCAATAAAATTGCAGGAGAAATCTGGCACCCTTTCAAAGACATCCCGCCCTCACACTAACTTAGTAAAAAGAGTCATCCTGGAAAAAAATAAAAACAAAACTCTTCACATGGACTTGGAACATCTACCTTATGTGCCAAGTGCAATAGAAAGTAAAGTCTGATTTTTATATTGTACAAGGAGTTGAAGGGGTTAAGTTATCACATGAATTTACTAAACTCTAACCTAAAATATGAACTACTTGTCTATTTTTATAAGTAGCAATATAATTGTCAAGTGTTTTTTAAAATACACAATATATAATAAAATTTAACAATATTGACTTAGAACCAAAACACCTGGGTTAAAAAGCTAGTTGTGATTTTTGAAAAAGTTCCATTCCTCCTCTGATCCTCAGAGTTCCACATACAATGATGAGGATGATAATAATGTCCATCGGAGTTGTTGTAAGCACTGAGTTCATCTGTTTAATGGGTTTTGGATCATAAGTACATTGTCAGCATTATCCATTATTAGACACTCATTTTGCTGATACTTTTGATAATTCCCACTTTGTTTAAGAAAGAGAACATAGTTTAAACAAATTGTTGAAATGTATATCTACATTTTATGCTGTATGAGTAATTAATAACAGTAACAGAAGCAGAGCTAGATAATCTCCACAAAATATAGCTGGTAATGAGGAATGATGATTTACCAAAAGTGATCCAACATTTTGTAAAACATTATCTCTTTAATATATGAAACTCATGTATTAAGGACTATTAATATCATGTGTTTCATGTGAAAAAAAACTAAACTGAAGAAAGAATAAATAACTTATAAAAGCCAAGTCAAACTTTTTTTTTAATCAAATAAGAGGAATATTCTATAACTGATATTATTTTTTTAATAATAGTTTATATCCTTCCTCAAGATTATAAATGTATATTATGTAAACATATCCCATATAATAAAATGTAGTTTTTATTCTCCCTTTATATCACCTGTGTCTATGTTAGTACATAATAATGGAGTTCACTGTGTCATACATAAATATGTAACCATTTCTTAAGCAACTCTTGAATACTTACAATGCTTTTAGTCTAAAATAAATTTTAGCACAGTACGTTATTTTAAACTTGTCACAATCAGTTATATGATAAGATTTTGTATGAATCCTTTAAAAGAATCTATATATCTAAAGGAACACTGATATGAATCTTCAGTGGTACTGTGGGGGAGGAATTTAACATAAACGAGTCATAGGGAGAAAGTGGTAGAATGAACATGCCATTTGTATTTCAATAGTTTGGGTTTGAATCTTAACTCCTTGTTCCTCTAAATGTCTGACTCTGGGCAAGGTCCTTCAACAATTTGGGGTAGCTATTTCAGCTGTAAGACTTTATAAGGTAAAATTTTATAACAAATAAGTTAAAAACACAATTATTTAGCTGTGATAGTTTAATTATTTCTAGTCTTCTTCAACAAAGGACAGGAATGCAGATGATACATCATATGCTGAAGTTAAAACTTGAAATGGGGTTTTGATGCTGCAGGAAGAAAAGCTTATGTATGTTTCCTTCTTTTGTATCACTAGCAAGTAATTTTAAGATGCATCTTAAATTTCCATGTTCTATCTCTTCTACTTTCTTACATCTGTTATTTTAATTTTTATTTATAAAGAGCCTTCTCTCTTTCATTCTCTTTGTAATTTATCATCCTTCTTTCTAGGAGGAATCTTTTTAAGAGAGTTATTTAAATATGTAGATGATTCTACCCAATGAAGTGTTAATTATATGGACACAACATAAAAAGGCATGTTTTATCCAGTGGAAAAAATATCACTATTGGTGATTGGTCCTATGAACTAACCCTGGTATGGTGGTTACACTTGTGATCAACGAACAGCTAAGTGGTTGACCTTACTCGGCTGGTGAGTGTCAGGGATGTGCCCTCGCGCAGGGCACTGCTTGTGCTCTGACAGCAAAACACGGACACTTTACTTACTCGCCCTTGGCTCGTTGTATGTGACACAACACCTCAGGGTTTCCCATAAAGAACAGTCATTTGAATTCCAAATAAAGGATGGTTTTAACAATTGTAATAGTATTTTCAATAAAAGCAATAACTGACCAAATTTTGCAGTCATCTTTTCTCTTTTTATGTTTTTAACAGGTAATACATTATTAACCAGCAAAGTCAACATATTGATTAATGTCCTAGATGTCAATGAATTTCCACCAGAAATAGCTGTGCCATATGAAACGTCTGTGTGTGAAAATGCCAAACCAGGACAGGTATCTTACCAATTTTATTAATGAAAAGTATATAAAGACCCATACATGCATGTGCTTAAGGTTTTAAGACCATACACTATAGTAAACTCTTAAATAAATTAATGGTACATGTATACATGTGGAGCTAATACCACAGGGGATAAAGTTATGATGGTCGAGTAAACATTCTTTGGGTAACTAATAGGTACGTGTTTTGCAGAGTCTGCTATGTTTGCCATTCCTTTCCATAAATTTTGTAAAGAACTTGTGACTATAAACCCATAAGCAAACAACTGTAGATTGCATCCTTCTATAGCTGTCTTGCTTTGCTTTCATGCTTTTATGAACAAGTACTGAACATCTCTTAAACTCATGAAATCTGTAAAGCTTCCTTCTTTGGTGCCTTGGAGAAGCATATCTGGATTATTCAGTATATCTGAAAAGGATGTTCTTATTAAGTTAATGTTGCTCTAGGAGAGTTTTTAGTTGAATGATGTCATGAGAGGCAGACACATACTTAATGAAAGTTACTGTCAAAGTTCTAGGATTTATATGGGGTGGTGGTGGATAGCTAGTTTTTTTCTGTACCATATTATAAATGAATGAGTAAATGAATGAATGAGTAAAATAAAATAAATAATGGATATCAGGCATAAGCAAATAATAAAAATGTTTTATAAAAAAAGAATATGATCAAACCAACCTGTATGCTTATGTTCCAAAAGAAAAAAAATATGTGTTGATATGCTTTTATTTGCTGTATCTTTCAAACAGCTTTAAATAATATAACTACTCCTTTAAGTAAATATGAAGAGTTTTAGTTCATACTTGAAAAAAAATCTTAATATTGAAATACCATCTTCATTGGAAAAAGTCATTCTTTATAGTATCTGTTTCAATTTGAATGACCTCTATGCTTCGTAGGTCATTCATCTCATACTTTTAATCCTGTGATGTCCATTACCCATAGGGCTATTAAATTAAAATTAAATTTAAAAAAATCCGTGGTCTGAATTACCCTTTCCTATTTCAAGTAAGTGGTATAATAGCTGCTATTTCGGTCAGTGCAGATATAGACTATTCCTTTAGCACAAAAGCTTCTAGTGGACTGTGCTGCTCTAATCCTTCTTTTGATAATTTGGGCAAAGAATTCATTTTATCCCAGAGTGACTAATGTAGTCATATTTTCCCAAGTGACAAATTTGCATCTTTAGTTATTAATGGGCACTTAAACCAAACTACAACCTATCACCTTAAATGTAGCCACAATTTACATAGGATGGCCCTGTGTCTGTTTTAGTGTTTGAAGTAGTAGATTCTGCATAAATGTTTATACAAATACATAACTTGATTTAGTGTTTTTGGGAAGTTATAAGAGGTTTATCACAACTTAGTTATTATTTACTTTCAAGAACCCTCCACCTCCATTGCCAAAAAGTCAATACTTTATTTTTAGGTAATTAGGGACATTAATTATTTCATATTAATTAAAACTTTGTAAAACACTAAATGAAAGCCTTTTGAGACTAGCATTCCACTTAAGACTTCTATGTTTGTCTAGTAAATTAAAGAGTTTAAAAAGTTGGGAATAGTATAAGTTACTAGAAATAACCTCATTTTCCTATATCTGGAAAAACTGATAAAACATATGATGGGTCCTTGGAGGCTTTTTGTTAATGTCTATCTGTCGGGCTTTTGTGTACTACTGGGCCACGTTTATGTACAAAGCATAACCCGAAAATGTCCCTTGAGTTTTCTAGGAGTGTAGTAAGTGAGCATTTTTTGCTTTTGACCCCAGCCATTCTGCCCTTCACCTAGGAACTATTCATAAGAGCTATTTATATTTTCTGTACTACACTTGTATGTATATACAGTTGAATATATATGTATGTGCATGTATCTATAAAAATAACAAAGAGGAAAGAGAGAAAGATGATGTTTTGTTTATGAGTAAAGATGTATCTATTGAATCAGTAAAGAGTTACATGGGAATTGGTTTCCTTATGGCAATAACTCCCAAGGAACAATTCCAGTAAGTGACAGTTTATGCCCCAATGTACATGTCTTTTTGTTGTTTAAAGGACTTTTTACTGTAAAGTTGTATTCTTGATATATCCTAATGTTAAATGCCTTTATTAAGTAAATGACTGCGCTACTTAAAAGTAGTTAAAAGCAAAATAAAACAAAACTTGACAAACAGATATCACTCCTCAAATAACTAGAGAAATTTTATAGATGATGGACAGAGATCTGATCACATGGGTTTATGTGAAGGAAAGTTGAAGCTTTACAGGGTCCATATGGTGATTTTTTGACTCAATTACCACATTCCATGTTCTGACCTTTCATGTTGAATAATGAAAGTTTAACCTATGACAATTCTAAAGGATAAATAGACTTGTGAGACTGATTCACACTTAACCAGAGAACTGAAATTCTCACCAGAGGAACAATTTGTCAAATTACAAATTACTAATACTGCACACAACCCTCAGTCTGTGTATCTGTGCCTATGTATATATGAATGTACATACACACAGCTATATGAGAAGGTTCATCACAGTCATAAGATTGTATTTTAGCCATAAAATTAAACCAAAAATAGAAGATTAAACCACATGCTTAATGACATCAATCTGAGATCACTTGATGCATTATTTACCCCTCAGACCAGGATATAGGATTTGAAATCTAAGAACTCCCTCTGCCAAATTCAGTCGTGGTCAAAGAGCATGATCACTAGATCAGCGCACTGCTCTCTCTGTTTTGGGGGGAAATGAATTCTTGCAGTGTCGCTACGAAAAGGATTTTCTGAAACCCACTCATGGAGGATGGAACTTGGTATTATGGTTTATTGATGATGCCAAATTAAGGGGGCTCCCCTCCAGACTCACCAACGTTGCATCTCCATCCATTTTGCCATGCAAAAGTCAAACCTTATTCTCAGCAAAGCCAAGACAAAAGCCAGTGTCCAGGGTTTCTGCTGCATATTAAAGCTTAGTCCTTTAGAATCTGTAGGTGGCTGCTAACTGATCTCAGTCCCCGTCCAAGCAGCTTAGCTTGTGTTTCCAGCTGCAATCCACTGTTGCGCTATGGTATTCAGGCTGCCTCCTGGAGCCTGTGTATGGGGCCACACCACTAAGGCCACCTGGCCACGGAGAGAACAGGTGTGTGCATCTTGTACAGGTCAAGAGGTGGGAAAAAGGGAGAGAGAGCTTAGTTCTTTTGGATCCCACACCATCTACTGCGGGCCCTGGTATCTGTGAGACCATGTGGTCTCGTGTTCCCAGGTGAGAGAGTGCACAAATGAATGGGGAGAATGCATCACTAGGTAGGAGAGAGACAGAGAGAGACAGGGAGAGCTCCTTTGTTCCCCTCAAATCACATTAGTTTGGGCTCGGACAGACCAGGTGTTTTTTCAAAATGACCAAATTAACTTCCCAAGATTTCATGAACTTTGAATAGACTTACAGCCCATACATGGAATGACAAGCCTCTTGGTCCAGTGCTTACCCCTGTGCCCCTCAACAGCCCAGCACTAGAAGGGAAGAGGGGGGAGTGCCAATCCCCTTGGCAGAGCACGATGCTGTGGTCCCTTGGATCCAGTGTGAAAAGCTGTGTACCTTCCTGGTGAAGCAAATGGGCTCGTGCTTCCGATTTTATTTAACATAACGACTAGTTCCTTTTTGCTTCCCTTTCCTATCAATCATTACCTAAATACCGATGGTAACATTACCTTCTCACACAAATTTCCTGAACACAAAAGCCATTAGATATATTGAACATTCCTCAAAACCACTTGGATTTGCTTATTTATGTAATAAATTTTTAGTTTCACAGTTGGGCTCTCAGAAGTAATTTTTAATCTCCAATTTCTTAAAGCATCTTATTGAAGTATCAGAATTTTAACTACAATATACAAAATGGAGACAATTTAGGAAAAAATTTCAAAACATAATGAAGACTATTTACTTACTAAAAAGCTCTATGAAAACACAACTTTTATTTTTACCCATTGAGGGAAAACAAACATAACAACAAAAGCAGATATGCATCCTTTATATCTCTATCATCATTTTATTTATTTATGAAAGTAAAACTTATTCTCAAAACTTAACTGTGCTGAAATTTTGCTAATGCAAAGACCTTTAAATACTCATAGATTTTGTTTCCAGTAGGCATTTTCCTTTTTTAATTTCATTTTTATTGAGGTATAATTGACATAAAATATTATATTAGTTTCAAATGTACAAAATAATGATTCAATATTTCTGTATATTGCAAAACAATCACCCCAATAAACCTAGGTAACATTTGTCACAGCACATGCAAATAATTTTTTTCTTATAAAGAGAAATTTTAAGACCTACAATCTTACCAACTTTCAAATATGCACTACAGTGTTATCACTTACGGTCACCATTCTGTACATCATATCACCATGACTTATTACACAACTGTCGCCCTGCGCAGCGGCTAGAGGGGGCACGCCGCTGTGGGGAAGCGCCGGAGAGTGCACAGCGCTCCCTGAACCCTGAGGGAAACCAGCGGGGGCCCGCTGAGGTGGGAGCAGGGCTGTGAAACCCGCAGAGCCCGCCTGGGGTTGTCACGGATGAGGGGGATAAAACACAAAACATCTCAAGCAGCTCTATTTGCTGGGAGAGCCGGCGGCGGCACTTCCTTCTCACTGGATAAGGCCCTGGTACATCCCTCCAGTGGGAAAGGCCTTGGCACATCCCCCTCATGGGGAAGGCCATGTCGTCCTTTGTTCCAAGGCTTTTATTGAAAAACTTATCAGTGGGCTAGGCAACAAGAATGCACGCATACACTCATTACAATAGCATGTTAAGTTTCACAGAGAATAGATACCTTTAAGAAAACAAGTGACAGGAATTCACTGATTTACATGGGTCTGAGAGGAGACTAGAATTAACAATAGAGACTACAGATAAGGGGAAAGTAGACAAAGGCGTTTAAAGATATAGGGTAAAAGGTGTAAATAAAGCAAATGTCTTAACAAGGTAAAGGGTGTAAATAATGTGAATGTCCTTCACAGCATGAGCTGACCAGAGATCTGAGAAAAGAACAAAGCACACTTTAAAGAAATTATCTTTAGGCCTGATTTTCTTGGCAACTGCCAGACCTGATTTAGGGCTGTTCTTCCTGCATTATTTCAAACCTGAGCCAGGTGTGGGGAGGGGACCACCAAGAGATAAGGAGACTGCTAACTGGGCTGCAGTGAGGACTCTGGCCACGTCCAAGCCAAACCTAGAGGTATGGGGGCCTTTGTGCCCCTTCTTCATGTCTCCCAATTTCTTATCTGCTGCCAATATCGGCCAATATTGGCATATACCTCAGTGTGAGGTTAACTTACCCATTGTTGGCTATTGACCATCCATGACAAAGCAGAGAGGCACAGGCTACACCCCAGCCAAGGGGGACAGGCCAAGTCTCCTCAGGGGCCTGCTTTCCCAAAGACTCCTGATTATTTCCAGCCTTGGGCCCTCCTGTCTGTTGGCAGGGTTACAGCTTCTGAAACCAGGCCGGGCATTTCCCAACATATAACTGGTAGTTTGCATATTGTGATCACCTTCACACATTTTGCCCACTCCTTACCCCTGTTTCCAGCAACCAATCTGTTCTCTGCATCTATGAGGTTGGTTTTTGTTTTGTTTTTAGATTCCACATATAAATGAAGTCATGCAGCATTTGTCTTCGTCTGTCTGAGCTTCCTCACTTAGCACAATGCCCTCGAGGGCCATCCCTGTTGTCACAATGGCAAGATTTCCTTCTTTTTTTTTTAATGGCTGAATAATATGTAATCTATTAAGTGTGCAGTAGTACTATGTCTAAAAAACAATGTTTGTAGTCAACAGTAGTGTAGTAACTAATGTATGGTGCCAGGTGTTTACCTGAAATATTGGAGGAAACCCTTTGTAAAGTATATGATTGTCTAGTCACTATGCTGTATACCTGAAACCAATGTAAAATAAAGCTAAATACAAACTGTAATTCAAGAATAGAATTAAAAAATAAATAAATAAAATTTTAAAATAAAAAAAAGAGTTAATAGATCCTGTAATTCCACTTCTAGGTACTTATCCCAGGAAATAACAAACACTAACTTGAAAAGATATTGGCATCCCCACTTTTATTGCAGCTTTGTTTACAGTAGCCAAGACATAGAAGCAACCTAAGTGCCCGTTAATAGGTTAATGGATAAAGAAAATGTGATATATATATATATATATTCCACTGTCATATATAATGAAATATCATTCAGTCATAAAAAGTTTTTTCATATTTAGGTTAAACTGCACTCATGTCATTTATTTTAAATACAAGCAAGTACATTTTAATTTTAGTTTGCATATTGGTGAGAATATTCAATGCTCTTAAGCTTTTGAGTAATGCAGATACCAATTTGGAGACAATCCATACCTGATAAATGTTCCCATATCTGTTTATAAAATTTTCTGTGAATAATCGGTCCACTGCTACGAATCCTCAGGGTGTCATTTCTGTCTCCTTGCATGCTTCATTAAATAAACTCATTAGCCTAGCATGTAAAGCTCCCTTTGAAACCGATGACCAACGTAAAGTTTCACCCCACTTTGTTTCAGATCATTCAGATAGTCAGCGCTGCAGACCGCGATCTTTCCCCTGCTGGGCAGCAGTTCTCCTTCAGACTGTCACCTGAAGCTGCCATCAAACCAAATTTTACAGTCCGTGACTTCAGAAGTAAGTTTAACCACATAAAAATTTACCTGTCATCATGTAACTTTGTAAAAGGACATAAAAGTAGAAATCAATGTTTTCCCTAAAAGCACTCAAATTCATAAAATATGGTAATCCATCTATGAGAAATACAAAATTCTATAGGCAGCAATAAAGAAAGTATTACCTATCTTCACTGTATCTAATGAGGCAAATTATTTCCATTCAGAATGTGGATAGTCCCTTAATGTGTCAAGTGAAAAAAACAAAATAAAAGGCTGTCTGGGAAATAGAATGGTTTTTTTTTTCTGTTTTGCATACACATTTGTTTCATATGCATATTTCTTATATGTAAAAATATATATTTTTAAGTAACTGTCTTACTTGCATAATGCATCATACAGCACAAGTTAAAACTGAGGCTTTGTAATTAGAACGTTTACATAAATGGCAGACACAATGCATTAAATTACAATAAGTGTCAAACTCACCATATTTATATTTAATAAAATAACGTTGGAGCACCCTTTAACACAATGCACAAGCATATTACCTTCAAGGACATTTTGCTCACCCTGGGCCGTCACGTCTACACTTGGCACTTCTGCCACGACTGCTACTCCGGTCACTTCCACCACCACTGCTAGCCATCCTGTCCTATCTGCTGCCATCACAGCCTCTTCAAAAATATAAATGACACTGAATTAGAAATATTAAAGCTAACGACTGCTTAGTGGTTCCGACTTTATTTGTTCTGTGACTTTCAGTATCTTTTCTCCTCTATGTTTCCAAAGTCTAAAGAAATAGGGATTAAAAACACCTGAGTTTTTACGTAACAAATACATAAATTGCAATGAGATGATGATGATGATGATGATGATGATGACGGTGATTGATAAAAGTCAAAGGATATTTTGAGAAAACTTAGTTTGCTAAAAATCCTGAGGGGAAAGGAATAAGAATCCCCATGTTTTGTCACAGAAGGAAATTCAGTAAGATTTTCTGCATCATATAGTGAAATGTGAGGGATAGCTATAAATGAAATGGTCAAAATCTGAAGGGCCTAATAGGTAGAGAGAATACGTATTTAATCCTGAAAACTGGAGCACTTTACAAAGAAGTGAATATTAATAATTTTAAATTAGAGCAGTGTATATAAGATAAAGCTGTCCAAGAAAAAGTAAACATAGTCGCCCTATACCTAAGCCATTTAAAGAGATTACAACTTAGATCTGATGACTTGCAAAGTCTTTGAAAAGTTTAAGCAAGAGTACGCCATGTGCAGATTTGCATTTAGGAAGATCCATTTGAATACAGAGTAGAGAAGACTTCAGAGAAATATGAACCAGTTCTGAGACTATTGCAAAAATTGGGTGAGAGAGGCTTAGATTAGGGAAGTGAGTGTGAGGATAGAGATAAGTGGGTAGTGGAGGAATTAATATGGCTTAACGTTAGATCCTCTAGGCTTTACATGTGACTATGAGGGAGAAGAAGAATAGTTAGACTTCCAGACTATTGATTTGGGCTATTAGGTTTATGGTCGCATCATTCAGTAACGTAAGTATCAACTACTTTCCACCATTGTATCCTTGCTGGAGAACCTGTATCTAATTAACTGTGATAATGTGAAGCAGGTCATAGTGCCTCATACACAGTGATTTTTCTCTGTCTGATGAGGTGCCACTCATGTGCCACTTACCATATTCCCTCTTTTGTCTTGTTATATTTGTAAGTTTTTCTAAAAGCAGATAGAAACATTTTGTTACCTCACGTATTTCATACTTTCCTTCTTGTTTTGTGATGACATTGATATTCTATTCCTTGAGCAAATTGTATATACTACACAAAGTTATGAACTACAGTCCCGGTGTATATATTAGAACCTCAGACTTATTCACACTATTGTCACCACAAGTACCTGACACTACTAATTTTCATTGGAGATAGCATAATAGACATTTTTATATCTGGATAATTTGTTTCTTATTTTAAACATATCCTCAATGTAGTAACAAATTATTCTGCCCATACCAAACTCCATCTCATCATGTGAAGTTTTATCATCTTCGTGCTTCTTCCTAAAATGAATACAGGGAAACTGCCTAATATTCAGTTTCAACTAAATATTACTTTCAGCTGAAAGTAGCATCTACAAATAGACCCAGAAAATATTATTGAAATAGTAACATTTTTATGACTTTTTTTTACCTGATTCCAAAGTGTCACATATGGCTATAATAAGCTAAATATTAACATGTTTCTAAAAATAGAAAAAATGTTTCTAGAAGTTATTTTAAAAGACATAAAATAAAAAAGTGCTCTGAAAAAAACAAAAATTTCTCTTCCATGTATAGAAATAAAATAAGTAAAGCAAAGATGCATATAAAAATGATACTTTCTGTGGAAATGTTAATTGAATTTGTATAAAATTAATAATTTATTTCTTTAGGTTATTTGAAATAAACATCACTATTGTTGATTTTAAGAAAACTAAAAATATTTTTTAATTAAAGTATTATAATTCATGATGATGTTAAAATTTTTAATGAGTCTTGATGGTGTTAATACATTTAATTTTTCTTTCCATGTTACTTTAATGTACAAAAGTTAAAGTTATATATAGACATAGTTTTGGAGGAAAATCAAGTTTTAATATGAAATAGTAATTTCATATTTGTTATATTTTAAATAATAAGTTCTAAGGTAACATTATTATTATGCTTTTTTATTTGCAAATTCATACTTGTAATAATTTGTTCTGCTAACATGTAAGAAAATATCCACAGAATTATTTTTCTAAATGAGATCTCGATGTCAGATAAAATAAGTAAACACTTAACTTGTTTTGTAAACCATTCTATATTCTTTCTAAATAGCAATTTTTAATAATTTTACCAGAGAAGATTAATGTTTCTTCTTTCCCTAAGGAATATTTTGATTGCATTTTGGCAGCTTTCATGATAAAAGAATTAAAATATGTATGTATTACACTGATTCAAGAAGAGCTTCCTACTGTTTAACAGACACCCATGTTGAGATGAAGTTCATAGTAATAATCTTATCATAAATGTCATGTCTTGTAGACAACACAGCTGGAATTGAAACCAGAAGAAATGGATACAGCCGGAGGCAGCAAGAGTTGTATTTCCTCCCTATTGTCGTAGAAGACAGCAGCTATCCTGTCCAGAGCAGCACAAACACCATGACTATTCGAGTTTGTAGATGTGACTCTGATGGTACCATCCTGTCTTGTAATGTGGAAGCAATTTTTCTACCTGTAGGACTCAGCACGGGGGCTTTGATTGCAATCCTACTGTGCATTGTTATACTCTTAGGTTAGTTTCAATACTAATCATCTCTCCCTTCCTACTCTACTGTGTGTCCTTAATTTACAATGTAAATCAGTGTTTCTTCACTGAGATGCCATATTTGCTTAGAAGGAAGATTTAGATGGAATTTTATTTTTATTATAGTTAATTTCCTATTTCACACTTCATAAATATATATAGCATTAGGCATCATTGGCAATATAAAAGTTTGTTCAAGGGGGTTTCCAAGTGATACAGTTAGTGAAACTTGATGCAATGAAATTTTCTCTAACAAATATCCTATTTACAGCAATGGTTTCTCCATTTATTTTACATCCTGGTAATTATTACTCCCTGAGATATTATATGTAACCTTTAAAAAATACACCCAATGAACAAAAGTTCCCAAATATTAGTTTAATAAACAAATAAAAGAGAAAAGAAAAGAAACAAACAAATAGAAAGTAAAGGGACGCTATTTTTTTTTTCTGGTTAAACTGTGAGCTAGAAGCAATTTTTATTCTACTTTTCTCACATCTCCTCACATCAAAATTCTAACCATTTCTGCTGGAACAGAACAGACCACACTTAAATATCTAGAAGCATGCCAAATGAAATGGATTGAAATAAATATGTTCTGTAACCCCTCTGTGAGAATAAGCACAAACCTACTTTAGGGGTTTCCCTCTGCCATCAATTCTGTTCAGCTGACTCTATTTTCCTTATTAATTCACTGCCAGAATCGCAAGAGTAAAGAGAGATTTTCTGGAGTTTTTGTCATTCTTTTGAATTCAAATTGCAACAGATACATGATTGGACACTGTGGAATCAGTTTATATAAGTATGTTTATTACTTATCCAAAAAAAACCCTGACAAATGTAGATACCTCCCTTTATACACTAGGGTATAAAGCATAGAGTAAGGCAGGATTAAAAGAGTTTGTGAAGAACAATTTCTGGTCAGAAGTTCATGTTGGCTTCAAGGGTAAAGTTCTAGTCCAATTTGCATGATCTAGTTATTAATCCCACAAAGGTAACCTTGATGTGTAGAACAAAGTGTTTTTATATACTTATCATTTATAGTAAATTATACTTGGCATCTGTTTGTGCTGATGATAGGAACCTTAAAAGGGCAGATTCAAAATAATGTTCTTATATCTGAAATTGCACATGATCAATTAGGTGTTTAAATGAAAACAACCCTTTTTCTCTCACACTCCTCTTTTCTCTTAAAGGTCTTTGAATCTTACAGTATTCACTTACCAAGCTAGCCTGATTTGGCATATTCTGGATGTTTTCCTTTGGGCATGGCCCAGTTCCAGTGTAGCAATTCATCTTTCATGCATTGCCATCAGCCACTTTTTATTCCAAGTACTTACTGATAGTTCACAGTGCACCTGTACTGATCTCGCATTGTGAATTTGCTAGCAAACAGCAGTACACATTGACACTCTTAGCCTTGTCGTGGGGTCACCTTAAAACTCCATCTATTGCTTGACCTCCTTAACCAGCCTCAGACTCCTTTATGTCTTACATTTTATTCTTACCCATTTGCATATTCTCCCTGATGTAAAGGAAAGCATAAGAATCGTACAGTTTTTGGATAACTTTTAGGGGGCTCTCAAACATATCTAACTAGTCTCTTTCTCAATCATGGTGGCTCTAAAGCCATTCTATATGCAGAGCTTCTCTGCGGTTCTCTCATGTATTCCCTGGGGAAAGAAACAATAAATGGTCTCTGTAGGTCTGAAATCTGCCTAAACCCTGGGAGGAGCGCCCAGTGATAAATGTCTCTCCAAGGCCATGGTACAGGAGCTCTAGCTGTATCTTTTCCCTCTTTCAGTTGATCAAACTCTAATGTTGGAAGAAGAGGGAAGGAATGGGTTTTCATCATCACGCAGTGCCCTCTACTTCTAACCCTGTAGCAGGAGTCTTTCAGGCTCTGCTCTGGTAAATCAAACATACTTTGTCTTTCAACCTATAACCACCAACACTGTGGAGGAAAGGGGTACATGGCAAGTAAAGTTGAGTGCTGACTTTATGGCTTGAATCTGCCTATTTACCCTCAGTAGAAGCAAACGCTGCTTAATGATATATAAGTCAACTAGAAAGAAAGACATGTTCAATAATGAGAGTAAATAAGTAAACTATTTCAAAATATCATCATGCTTTATGAAGGTAATTTGAATACTAGGCATTTGGTTTGGAAACTGTCTCAATATGACAGGACACAGAATATAAAAAATTAGAGCTCTTAGTTGATATGATTTATAAAACCAAGACCCCTATATTATATATTTTTTGCTTCTTTTTTTCTCACTTATTTATTGATTTTAAAAGTGATGTCACATGAATATTTGAGTTTATTTCATTAGAAACACATTAACAATACAATTGGGAAATCTAGGTGTGAATAATATCTGAATGCTACTTACGGGCTATAATATTCAAGTTTTACAATACGAATATCGTGCAGCTCTCTGTATGCTTAGAACAACATTTTTCCCTCTTTCATAACTTTGTAAAACACTTATCAGGCAGTAAAATATTTAAATATAATACATGTTAAATATATAGCTATAATTGTTTGATTTTGTGAATAATTTGGCTGAGATCTCTTGTTAGTTACAATTTAAATATGAAGTTGAGTTTAGACAATGACAAAAGGTAAACCAAAATCCAATTCTTGATTACAGTATATTTGCTTTGAAAATAAAATGTTATTAAAGAATCTCAGCCATCCCTGTTCAACTTCATTTTTATGAGATGAATTGATATAATCTCAAATTGCAATTTTTGTCTTCTTTTAGCCATAGTTGTGCTGTATGTTGCTCTGCGAAGGCAGAAGAAGAAAGACACCCTGATGACCTCTAAAGAAGACATCAGAGACAATGTCATCCACTATGACGATGAAGGAGGTGGGGAAGAGGACACCCAGGCTTTCGACATCGGTGCTCTGAGAAATCCAAAAGTGATTGAAGAGAACAAAATTCGCAGGGATATAAAACCAGACTCTCTCTGTTTACCTCGGCAGAGACCACCAGTGGAAGATAACACAGACATAAGGGATTTCATTAATCAAAGGCTACAGGAGAATGATGTAGACCCTACCGCCCCACCGTACGACTCATTAGCAACATATGCCTACGAAGGAAATGGATCAGTCGCAGACTCCCTTAGCTCTATAGACTCTCTCACGACGACGGAGGCTGACCAGGACTACGACTATCTGACAGACTGGGGACCTCGCTTTAAAGTCTTGGCAGACATGTTTGGCGAAGAAGAGAGTTATAACCCTGATAAAGTCACTTAGGGGAGAAGCAAAGACTAAACCAAGAGGAAGAATTTAAGAAAAAGAAACACAAATAGAAATATCACACACATACACACACACCACAGGCTTTATAGGACAAGATTCCTTTATCTGGTTTCTAGCAAGCTGCTATATTTATCATATTGTCAGTTTTGGTTTATTCTGCCAACACAAGATAAATCCTATTATATGTACTTGCCTGGTTTTGTTTTGTTATTTTGGAAACACACTGAGACAAGCTCAGGCTTATTAAATACAATTTACTGACATGACAACCTAAAATGAAGATAGCTATGTGGCATCACAGTGGAAGAGTGGTAGATTTTTCTTAATTCCACTAAAGTGCCTATTGAAACTCTTTTCATTTGAAGTGGTGTACAGTACCCTCTGCTGTGATGGCATTGCAGGATTCAGAGACACAGAAGACACAAAACAAAGATCTTGTCTTTATATGTCAAGGAGCAATAGCGACATGCTGACTTCTAATTCCTTTTGAGGAAAAAAAGAAGAATACTTCCTGAACTCCATATTCTTAAAATTCAAAGTTTTTTTTAAAAGTGTATGCCAAAACACATTTGTTTTTCTCACCCTTTCAGAAAATTGAAATAAATGTGATAATATCAAATTCAGTATGTAAGTCCTGGATTTTAAAAGCAATGTTTGATCATATCATTAGTTCATATTAAATCTATTAATTGAAGTGTTAATTTTTATTAAAAAATAAAATTTTTAAAAATGAAAATTAAAAACATCCCTCTTTATAAAGAGAGGCCTCAGGGCTGAAATTCCATATTAAAATAAATTTTGGTTTTGTTTTAATACTGTGCTGGTGTTTAGAAGGTTGGTTTTAATAAGTGACTACATCATTGAAGTCTTCATTCACAGAATAAAAACTTTTGTGTTTCCACTAAAACTTTTTTGGGGAAAAATGTTCCATTAATCTAAACATGAATAAAAATATGCATTATATAGCTTCTCAGACTTTCTTACAATCTAGTGATTATTTGATGACCAAAGAAAATAAAATACTTATCAAATAATACAGGATGGATGTGTGGCATGCTTAAAAATTATTTGTTATACAATACTGAAAAAAATCAGGAACTTTAGAAAATTCAAACCAATAACTAAGTAATAGCAAAACCAGGTAATTGATTCACTTATTTTTTTGATGAGTTTCAACTTTGTGAGTATTGTTATTATATTAAGGCTCAGAGTTACTTCATTACACTATTATCTACAGTAATTTCAATATAAATTATCCCTACAGCTTATTTTGTAGAGAACTTCTACCTTTTAATTTCATAAGGATTTCTAAAAAATATATTAGATTTTAAAATATACACGTAAACTATACTCATATACATTATTTTCAGCTGAATCATACACTAGCTAGAAATGTTCTTAACAAACCAGGTAACTATATTTTCTTCAGATTACAGGTATACAAGTGACCACTGAAATACTGAAACTACATATAGGAAAAATAAAAGTTACTTATAGATCCATCCTGATCCATCCTTAATATTTGGCTGTATTTATGAAATATTATTGAGTACATTTATATTTGAAAGGTTATAAAAGTAAAAATTTACAAATAAAGTAAATGGGTAGAAATTGGATATCATAGGCAACTTATATTTAGTCTTATTCTTTATTAAACACTTCAAAAATATGTAACTAATAATTATGCTGTGGCAATTTGGCCATTTGAATCTGCTTTTCCTTCCCTTTTTTGATGTCAAACACTCACCTTGGTGCCTCTTTCGAGAACAGTTTTTGAACTGATTTTCATCCCCCACCATCTCATCAGTGACCTTTGTCTCACCCCTTGGAACTGCATTAGAATACTCTTGTAGTCTAATAATTTGCAGCATAATTATACTTTGGAAAATGTGTACATTTTAAAAGCTGGTGATATTACAACCATACTACAGAAAATATTCAGGCAACTTCTGGGTTTTTCCTAGCAACATAATTTGATGCATATCCCTGTCCAGAGAGTTAAAAAATACAAGATCACTTTGGGTTGACAAGCTAGTTCTTGCCAGGGATAACTGCATTTTGCATCTTGTTAGAGAATCTAACTGCTGTCACACACCACCATACAGCCGAGAAGTGGCAGCACGGAGAAAACTTGGGAGGGACAGGTCATTTTAAACCACAAGGCTGAGATACTAAGCGAAAACATAAAATTGGTGGGTCTTTTCTCAAAACAAGTAAGTCCTTCTTGGTACCGCCATCATTTACATTTTTTACACACTAACTTTACTTTCCTAGGGCTGCCATAACAAAGTGCTGCAGACTGGGTAGCTTAAACGACGGAACTTTATTTCCTCACAGTTCTGGAGGGAAGAAGTCCAAGGTCAAGGTGTCCAAAGAGGTGGTTTCTTCAAAGGGATGCTCTCTCTTTGGCTTGTTGATGGCCACCTTCTCTCTGCATCATAGTATTCCTAACATGCTAATTCCTCTTCTTTTAAGAGTACCAGTCACACTAAATCTATTCACATGACCTCTTTTCATTTCAATTAATTCTTTAAGGGCAGTACTGCCAAGTACAGTCAGTTCTGAGATACTGGTGGTTTGGACTTCAAAATACAAATTTTAGGGGTACATCGTTTGGCCCATAACAACCAAAAAAGTTAATAGCAATTTTTTAAATATTTAACTTAGAATAATAAAATAAATAAAGGTGAAAAAAACAAAACATAACCTTGAATGAAAATAATTTTGGTTACAAGGGGAAACAGTAGGATTGCAATCAAAGCCCCCGTGCTGAGTCCTACAGGTAGAAAAATATACCTTCAGGTGAGACGTGGTCGTCATTGCTCATAAATTGGAAGCAATATGGGATATCTTTTAATCTACAAAAAACACTAGATCTAATGTTTTAATGCTTATAATAACTTGAAGTTAATTGTTATTTAATATAATAACACAGTCACTGGCTTTCATTCAGACATTAAGCAATATGAAAATGCTTAGAATTTGCAGGGAGAATATTGATCATTAATAATAATTATACCATAATTCCTTTTTATTACATTAAAAGTTTACTTTCGCAGAAATATGTTCATGTATTGTATTTAACATAAGTATGTTTCTTATGTATGTTTATAAAATGTAACCTTTAATTGTGCTCAAAGGAGTATTCTATCAACATATAAGAGTGAAACAGCAATATACTAGAAATAATCTAAAATTGTTTTTGTATCAAATGCTATCCCTAACTAGAAATGTTATATGGGGCAAAAACCTTAGGCTCCCTCTCTTCTATTCTCTTGGTAAAATTAATTTTTTGTTCTTGGTGTTATCTAAGTGTCTTCTGGAGCTTCTTGACTCTTAAGTTGTCATTAGAATGACATGAAATTCATTAAACCATTTACATACAGATTATATAGAACTATGATGATAACAGAGATCTTCAAAACATAATATGAATAACTGTAGAGCTAGGAAACTATTTTTAAAGTAATATCTTTCAAAATATTTCAGCAAGACTGGAGTAGAGATATACATAGGGAGAGTGAGAAAATAAAGTGTTAAAATAACTAGAGTGTCCTGGCTGATGTGCCTCAGTGGACTGAGTGCCGGCTTGTGAACCAAAGAGTTGATGGTTCGATTCCCAGTCAGGGCACAAGCTTGAGTTGCGGGCCAGGTCCCCAGTGGGGGGTGTGCAAGAGGCAACCACACACTGATGTTTCCCTCTCTCTTTCCATCCCTACCCTTCTTTAAGAATAAAGAAATAAAATATTTTAAAAAATAAAATAACTAGAGCTTAAATCTTGACCATAGAGGGGAAAAAAGTAATATGAAGAGAGGATTAGGAGGGATGTGTTATTCTCTCTCTTAAAGAGAAAAAGATTTTAGAAATCCTTTTAAGTTTCAGTAAGTATTGTATTAAAATGGGAATTCCTAAAAGCAGATGTAAGTATGCAGACATTATATTTGAATTAGGCCCCAACCTGCCTATGTCAGAAAAAAGTTCATAATTTATAAGGAAGCAACTTCAGTTTGCTTCTTTAAAAAAAAAATTAAAAAATGGTAGGAAAATAATTTTATAAGTCTATGTTTGAAAACTACTCTTGCCTCTTTGCCAAATTAAATATTTGATCTAGGTATATGGTGTTCATTTAAATGTTTTCTTTAACATTTTGAAGATGTTTTCTATCCTATCCTATTCTAGCATCCAAACCAGCACGTGAAATAGAATGATGCATATATCACTCCTCTTTTAAGTCATGAGATTTTTTTCATAATGACACTCAGATCATTTTTTCTCGGTGTTATGAAATTTCGCACTAATGCATTAAGATGAGTCTGATGTCATTTCCAGGACTAGGCACTCAGGGAACTCTTCGTAATATGGAGCCTCATGTTCTCTATTTTGGGGAGATCTCTTTATATCTATTCTCTGATGGGTTTCTACCATGTGTTTTTCTTTTCAGTCCTTGTGGAATTTTTACTATTTGGTTTTTGAAATGTCATAGATTTATGTTAACTGTATTATATTTTAACTATCACTTTGTGTGTTTTATTCTATTTTCATGATTTTCATTTTATCGTTGTCCTCCAGCTTTAATGATTTATCTTGCAATGATTTATTTCTTTAATTTCAGGAACTTTTTGTTGTATTGTTCTGTTTTCTGTCTCTCTTGTTATTCTGATCTTGTTTTTTGATAACTTTTTTCTTCAGTCTCTCTAATTATGTTTATTGATGGTGTCCTTTTTAAAAATTCTATTTGTTCTGATGACAGTAACAAGATTATATAGGTTTCAAGTCTACTTTTCTATGATACATGATCTGTATATTGCATTGTGTGCCCACCACCCAAAATCAAATAATCCTTCATCCCACTTTACCTCCTACCCTGTCCCCTCTTGTAACCATCATACTCTGGGCTATGTCTGCGTGATTTTGTTTGTTTGTTTCTCCTGTTTGTGCATTTGTTGCTTTTAGTTTTATATCCCACAAATGAGTGAAATTATATGATATTTAATTTTTTATGTCTGGCTTATTTCTCTTCGTATGGTGTTCTCAAAACCCATCATGCTTTTCAAATGGCAACTTTTCATCTTTTATGGCTGAGTA